ACATTGCCTTTAGAGAAGTAGTTCCCACTCTGTTGCCTGCCAGTAGAATCACAGCCAGGACCGGGGATTTAGCTCAGTGTTGCTGCTGCCTGCCTCACAAGCGCAAGATCCCGAGTTCGATCCCTGGTACTGGAAAAAAAAAAGAATCACAGAAGCCAGAGTTTGTATCGACTGGATACTCTCAAAGGCAAGCTCATAGTGGAAGTGCCCTTTGCCTAAGCCTCACCATGCTCGCTTCTCCCTGAGCCAGACAAGCCTCCATATGGCTGGTTCATTTATTTGGTTTACTTGAGACTGGATCTCACTGTGTAATTCAGGCTGGCCTTGAACTCATGGCAGTCTCGCTGCCTCAGCCTCCCTAGTGCTGGGATCACAGGCGTGCACCACCATGTCCAGCCAGTTGGTTAATTTATGAATGAGTCTTACAATCCTCATCACCCTTGCCTTCTGGTGGCCACCTCTATGCCAGCTTTGTCCTGAGCACCTTACACAAAGCATGTCATGTAACTAACACCTTTGCCATGGCTCCATGAAACAACTACTTCATTCCATTTTCTTTGTGAGTACACTACTAGAGAGTACAAGGAATTTTTTTGTGTGCCCAAGTCACTTAGCAGAAGAGGGCAGAGCCTCAAATTGACCCTAGGTGTGCTTTTAAATTTTTTTCATTCATTCGTTCATTCATTCACTCATTTATTCATACTGCTGGGGATTGACCTAGGACCTCATGGGTGCAAGGAAGCAAGCAAGCACTCCACTACTAAGCTATATCCCAAGCCCTTTTTTAGAAATTTAATTTGAGCCAGGTGTGGTGGTCCACACCTATAATCCCAGTATTCAGGAGGCTGAGGCAGGAGAATCACCAAGAAGAGTTCAGGGCCAGCCTGAACTACACAACAAGACCCTATCTCAAAAAAATAAATAAATAAAATTTACTCGGACACAGGATCTCCCTAAATTGCCTGACTGGCCTTAAACTTATGAGCTTCCTGCCTCAGCTTCCCAAGTAGCTGGAATCATAGGTCCCATATCTGGTTCCAGGTAAGCTTTTTAAAAAACTTTGCAGCTGGGGATTTAGCTCAGTGGTGCTACACCTGCCTCACAAGCGCAGGGTCCTGAGTTCGATCCCCAGTACCAAAAAAACCCCACTTTGCTGCTGGGCGTGGTGGCACATGCCTGTAATGCCAGCACTCTGGAGGCTGAGGCAGGAGGACCCCTGTTGAGTTTAAGGCCAGCCTGGGCTACTAGTAAGTTCAAGACCAGCCTGAACTATGTAGTAAGACCCTGCCTCAAAAAACCAAAAAGAGCCAGGCGTGGTGGTGCATACCTGTAATCCCAGCACTTGGGAGGCTGAGGCAGGAGAATAGCTGTGAGTTCAAGGCCAGCCTGGGCTACATACCAAGACCCTGTCTCAAAAAACAAAACAAACAACTTTACTCTCTCCTTAATGAGAATCTACAATATATCAGATGTTTTAAAAATATAACACTTATTCCCTTTATTATTTTACCTGATTAAGATCTGTTTGACCTAAAGTTTCTTTTCTTGTATTACACAGTCGGTGACGCATAAGGAATGTGTTCATTGTGGGGGCTGGTACTTCCCCTCCCCACTCCCTTTTTCTCCGAGCCTGGTTTCCTCATTTGTTAAAAGTCTGACTGTTTCTTATCTTTTATTTCACTCTTGATTTATACTTGGTGTTTCTCATATAAGAAACCATATGATATTTAAGTGCCTAGCTCTGATTTACTTCACTGAGCATTATAGTGTCAAGGTGCATGGTTTTCCTACAGACGACTCGAATTTATCTTTTATGGCTGAGAAGGACTCCGTTGTATATATGCCACACCTTCTTTACCCATTTAGTCAACTGAAAGTTTAAAAGTATTTTCTTCTTCAGTACCGGGTATCAAACTCAGGACCTTGTGCTTGCGAGGCAGGTGCGATCCCCGGCCCTCCTCACTTCTTTTCAAAGACTTGAAGACCTTTCAAAATTCTGAAAGTGACAGTTTCTCTTGTTTGACAGGAACAGTCAAATAAAAACTAGTTATGATTTCATAGGAGATCAAACTTATCTGAAAGTAAAAACACATTACTAAAGAAAGGTGACTGTCAGAGAGGTTAGCAGTCTCCGTCACGGGAGGAACCAGCAGCAGGCGCTGTGAACCAAGTCCTTTGTGGCCCAGAGGAAGGGGAGCTGGGGTGTGGGTCTCTGCTCTGGTCCCAGGACGGTAGTGCTGTGCACCTTCGGGCCACAGGGGGGCAGCACAGCATCTTCCATCGGGAAAGTACTCTTGTAGGTAGCTGACTCGGGGCGGCCTGTGTGTTTTGGCACAGGGGCTTCTCATACCTGCTTGGAGGCTGCCACCGGGAGGGCCCTGATGGGGCAGCACACGGAGATCACGGGAGAGGACCACCCACTCAACAAGCTCGAGTGAAGATCGAGCCAGGTCAGCGTTTCCTCTGTCTTCCGTCTTCCCCCAAATTACCCTTGGAGCCCCAGGTTAGCCTGACCTGAGTCGATCGGCTTGGAGGAGCCTTCCAGAGCCCTTTCTAGCTGTTCCCTGGCCTCCAGGCTGCCTGAACCCAAGTGTGTCAGCCAGACAGGAGGGGTTTGCTGTACACCTTTCTTAAGCACTTGACCTCGGCCTTGCATTTGTATTAGTCAGTATCGCTTTACAAGGTGCTTTCCCATTCCCTTTTCATCATCAGTTCAGACCTGTGGGTTCTGTCCAGGGTCAGCCTGGTTTTATGAGGACGGGACTGAGTGCTACGTGACTTCAGGGACTTGTCCCAGGTCATGTACCGAGTCAGTTCCAAGTATAGAGCTTTTCACTTTTCTAACTTTTTTTTGTTGCCAGGCATGGTGGCAGATGCTTGTAATTCCAGCAGTTGGGAGGCTGAGGGAGGAGGATCTCTGAGTTCAAGGCCAGCCTAGGCTCCATAGTGAATTCAAAGCCATCCTGAGCTACACAGCAAGACCCTGTCTCCAAAAAAAGAAAGAAAAAAGAACTACCATTTGTTTTGTTAATTCTATGTGTGACTAATCGGTAACCTTTTTGTGCAGTGGAAGCTCGTGTCCCTTGGTGTCCCAAACTGTAACAGTGAACTTCTTGTCCACTGGTAATTAATTCTCATCCAGAACACTTGTAAAAATAATATGTTCTGGAAGGAGAGGTTGAGTAAGCAGGTGATGAGCAACAGGGCTGCAAAAGACAGCCCAGCGCTCCATTCCAAGTTGAAGGAGACAGGTGTGGTGACACACACCCATAATCCCAGCTACTTAAGAGGCTGAGACCAGAGGATCATAAGTTCAAGCCCAGCCTGGGCAATTTAGCAAGACACCGTCCCCAAATAAAATGAAATGGGGCTGAGGGCATAGCTCAGTGTTAGAGCACTTGCCTGGGTCCTTTCTGGTACCACCCGAAAGACCTGGTGGACCAAAGTGACCAGAGCCTACCCCAGGGATAAGGAAGGAGTCAATTCCCCCCGGGGCTGGTTTCTTTGTCATCTTTTTAGGTCCACAGTTACTGGCCCACTAAGATTTTCTTAGGGCTGCTTTGGGAGAGGTCAGGATGGATCTAGAAACCTGGGCCTTGCTATCCCTGGGGGAGCCGGAGTCTGGGCTCTGCCAGAGTAAATATTTGAATCTGGAGCCCGAGAAGAACAACGAGGGTGTTTCAGTTACAAATAACACTCGTCCTGTCCACTTTCTCTTCTGCCAGGTGTTAACCCAGATGATACGTACAACCAGACCCGCTATGAGAAAGGCTTCTGCTTCGTCTCATACCTGGCCCACTTGGTGGGTTATCAAGACCAGTTTGACAGTTTTCTCAAGATATGGTCACCTCAAAGAGGGGAGGAGGACAAGGAGCAGATAAACAGCTGGGCCGGAGTGCCAGGGTAGTGGGAGGGGCCACAGAGCTGAGGGGTTGAACGGGACCTGGGGATTGGAGGGGCCTGCGGCCAGGACACCTGGAGAGGCTGCACACTGTCCCCTTCCCACAGGCCTGTGTGGACGAGTTTAAATTCCAGAGTATCTTAGCCGAAGACTTTCTAGAATTCTACTTGGACTATTTCCCTGAGCTGAAGGAAAGGACAGTGGATTCCATTCCAGGTGTGGCTCGAAGGCTTCTGGGAGATGGCGGAGGGTGGGATCTAGCTGCATTTGGAAAGATCGAGGCAGGTGGGAGGAGGTGGATTCACAGTTCTCTGGTAAATGGCACTGTGGGGAGCAGGCCCAGAATCCAGGCCCTGGCCCCCAAAAATGACTTCTGGGTCTTGGGCTGCTCCGGGTTAGTCCCCAGCACCAGAATGATGATAGTAAGTATCATTCGATTTCTCTCAATCCCACTCTGCCCCGTTTTCTCTCGTTTCTCTTCCTTCCTCTCCTCTTGTTTGCTCCACACCTGGACACACATTCAGACCCTTGTCGTCGCCAAGTTAAAACTCAGAGGGCGGTGATGGGCAGCAGCCCCTGCCCGAAGGTTGCAGTGTGGCCTCATTGGCCCTGGTGTCAACCCTGGAGGCCCTGCTTCCTCGGAGGTGGAGGGAGTGGCCTGTTGCTGGGAGACAGACCCAGACCGCAAGCCTGCCTTGTCCTCTGAGTCACTGGGCCTCCTCATCTGCTGGGATTGGCCAGGCCTCAGTGGGAGGGCCAAGTCTCAAGGTCATGACACTCTGTAGCTAATGATAGTTAATAATTACTGTGTGCTCACTATGCATCAGGCAGAACTTTTAATGTGTATTTGCTCATTTAATCTTCACAACTGTCAACTAAGGTAGGGCCCGTCACCCCCATTTCTCAGGTAAACAGAGGCGCTGAGGGGCAGTCATGTGCCCCTGCCCCCACAGCGGGTTGATGGCAGAGCTGGGATGGGACCCAGGCGGCCTGTCTTGGGGTGCTGGTGCTTAGTTAAGCACAATGCTGTGCTGGTGTCCAGAGGAGACGGTGAACCTGACTACAGCCTGGAAAGCCCCGCTCAGCGTGGCTCTGATGACTTAAAGTTTATGTACAGGCAGAACACTTTCACAATGGAAATGAGCACAGCCCAGTCTTCCGGTGACAGTCCTGGGTGTCATCCTAGCAGGACCCTGTGGGCAGGTGACACTGAGTACTAAAGAAAGTTTGAGAGGGGAAGGGGTTGGAGGTTTCTTGGGCAAGTTGCCCTTGACGCAGCCAGAGAATTCTGACGGCATCTTCTCCTACCTGCAGGTTTTGAGTTTGATCGCTGGCTGGATACCCCCAGCTGGCCCCCCTGCCTCCTCCTCTCTCCCCTGGGGACTCACTCCTGAATCCAGCTGAAGAGCTGGCCCAGCTGTGGATGACAGAGGAGTGGACATGCAGGCCATCAAAGCTGTGGCCGTCTCTGCCCGGGAGACGTCTCTACCAGCTGACCTACTTCCTGGGTGAGATCCTCCGGAAGTCTCCTCTCCCCATCCTGGTAAGCTGCTGCCTCCTCCAGCTGAGTGAAGCTCCTTGTGTGCAGAGCTTTCTGTCAGGAGCCAGAGGAGGGCTCAGGAAAGGTTGTTATCTTGCCTGGAGGTGATGCCAGGCTGGCACGTTGCACAGAACGTGTCATCAGAAGGACTTAGATGTACGAGTGCCACAGGGAACAAAATAACAAACCTCAACGTTCCTCAGTCCTCCGGCTCTACAGGACACTCTTGTAAGCTGTGTGCGTGTGTGTCTTTAGGTCATTTAATCCCTGTAACTACTCTGCATAGGCAGGACCAGGATTTTTAATCCCCAGGTAACAAAGTGAACTGGAGGCACAAATAGGTCACTCAACCTAATAGTTGGGCTGGGATTTGAACCCAGTCATCCGAAGCTCTTAACCACAAGTGCTTTGTTGTTGCTCAGTCAGAAGTAATATTCATCCAGGGGTGAAAACCAGTTAAAGCTCTGATGAACTTAGCAAGTTTAGTGGTAGGAGAAAAAGTGGATTTAAAAAAGTGAATATTGTAAAAAGTGGACACTGGGCATGATAGTGCACACCTGTAATCCCAGCTGCTCCGGAGCTGAGGCAGGAGGATTCAAAGTCCAAGGCCAGCCTGGGCAACTCAGTGAGACCCTGTTTCCAAAAAAAGGAAAACAGAATGTAGCTCAGTGGTAAAGCACTTGCCTGGCACTTGTGAGGCCCTGGGCTAAATCCCCAGTACCACCAAAGAAAGAACATTTGAGGGGAATGCATGTGTTTTAATGCAGGAAGGAGAAGAGAGTGAGAGGAGCAGCAAGTATGGCAAGACTAAGACATGTGGTAAATGTGATGCCAGAACACCACCTTTCTGGAGCTTAAAATGAGCAGAATGAGTGGCAGAGTGGGTGTTTGGAAACCTCCTTCTTGCCATCTTCCCAGAGCTTTTTGGGGGGGGCCGGGGGTTACCAGGGATGGAACTCAGGACCTCAGGCTTGCGAGGCAGGCGTGGTGCCACTGAGCAATATCCTCCACCCTTCCCAGACCTTTTAGAAGGGCTGAAAGTGGACCTTCCTAGCTCCTCCTGCTGGTCATGAACGGCCCATTTTTTCCTCTTTTCCAGGGAATGTGACAAAACTCAGAGAGACATAAGCAGCTATCTCCAGTGCCCGGAATGCAGAGCTCCAGCTCTGATGGGGCCAGATTGTCCTTAAGAACGACCACCAAGAGGACTTCTGGAAAGTAAAGGTGTTCCTGCAGAGCCAGGTGGGCGACACCCCCTTCCTGTCCCCAAGATTAGCCAAGCTATGGACCACGAGCTACGCTTGAAGTCACCCTGCCGGCAGAGCCTCGTCATAGTCATAGCCTCGTGGGTCTGAGCTGCAGAGCAGGGGTCCAGCGACCTCTGGAGTACCCTGCTGATCACCTTGGTATTAGTGTGGCTCCCGGAGGCATTGTCCTGGGGAAAAGTGGAAGCCTGAAGGCTGCAGGCACAGGGAGCTTTCTGCAAATCAGCTGGTGAGGCCTGAGGGACAGAAGCTGGTCAGAGCTAACTCAAAACTGGGAAGGAGGGTAAGGCTGATATGGGGTCCAGTCATGGGGAAAAGCACGAGGGCAGAGCCCCGGCAGGATGAGCGCAGGGCCGGGTCACACAGGTCCTGCCCTGGGGAAGCTCTGGGGCTGAGGAGCAGCGCAGACGCCAGCCAGCTCCTGCAGGGCAGTGCAGTGTGAGCAGCCCCATTGGGCAGGGTGCAGGGACCTCAGGTGAGTAAGTGAATGTCCGAAGATTCCTGAGCAAGGAGTGGTGGGTGAGATAAGGCAGTGCTCAGAGCTCATCCCTATCAAGTGGGAGCTGCGTCTCAGAGTTCCAAGCCCTGCAGTTTGGAAGCCTGTGATGTTGCTGGCTTAGCAAAATGAGTTTGACCTGTGGATTTTCATTTGCTCAGCTGCAGTTGGACCTACGCAGCCCTGGGCTTTGTGTGCTGCAGCCTTTTATGCCTGCGGTCGCCTTGGTGCCCAGTCACATCCAGCTTCCCAGAGTTGGCATCCCATTGTGTCAGCCCATCTCACCTGTTTTGTGGGGTGCAGACGTCCCCAAGTTACCATGGTTCGGATGCTTGTGGAGCTCCGTTTCTGTGGATCCTTGTCCTCTGAGAAGATGCCAGAATCAGAGCACCTGTCTGGGAAGCTCTGATCCCCATTTCCCTTTCTGACACCTGATTGCACCCACTGTTAGACACCCCATCCCGGTGGGCGCCCAAGGGCTGGGGAGACCCCCTGAGTGAGCTGCTGAGGACACATGTCCCTTGCAGGGGAAGCAGCAGACCCTGGCACTGTACCACACCGTGATGGCCCAGATCATCACCAAGGAGACCATTGGCTCTGCTTCCTCCCAGCTCCACAGCAACATCGTCAATTACATCCAGCAGATCCTAGAGCCCGAGGGCAGTTAGGGGCTCATACACACTGCCCCTGCCTCTTCAGACTTGGAGGATTTTGGAATCATTGTTCCCAACCTCCATTCTGCAGTCACCATCTCGAAGTGCCCGTCCCCACAGGACCGTCTGCTCTCTGGGCTCCAGTGTCTGAGACCCTCGGGCCTCTGCTCCAGCCCACCAAGTCCTGAAACTGGAAGTCCCTCCTACAGCCACCTTGGTACAGGCTGCTGGTGGTGTTGGGGACAGTTGGCCTCCTCCCTCCTTCTACTTAGGTCTCTGAGGAGAGGCAGAGACAGGTCTGTCTCTCTCTTTCTTTAATAAATGTTTTTAAGCAAAAACTAGGTAAATTGTAGTTACAGTTTGAGTGGCTGTTAAGTGTTTCTGTCAGGGCTCCTGGATCTCTTGTGTGTGGGTTCAGAGAAGAGGGAGGTGACCCCGGGGATGACAGTGTTCCCTTGTCCTTAAGGAACTGGTGGGCAGAGCCTGCACTTGGTGGAACATGCTTGTGATCCCAGCGCTCTGGGAGGCTGAGGTAGGAGTGTCGAAAGATTGAGCCCAGCTTGGGCAGCTTAGTGAGACCATCTCAGAATTTTAAAATGGGCTGAGATGTAGCTCA